GGAAAGAGGAAGGAGAAAAGGATTCAGATTCTTGAATTACTTGGTTTTTTTTTAAGCAAAAGTAGTGAAAAACCAAAGCATAAAAAAAACCTGTTACATTTTCTTTACAGTTACCCATTTATTTTCCTCCAGAACAGAAATGCTTTATATGCTCAATACTGAATTTGAAAAATACTACTACGTTACAAATTGAGTAAAATTTTAACTAAAAAACACAGCAATGTAAGATCTAAACAGAGAAGCAGGAAGTGTTTTAAAATAAAGGCCCCAAAACCCTCAGTAATATGCATAGCTTTAATCTGCATCTAGGATAGCACAGTAATTAAAGCTAATGCAAAACGCAAATATCCATATAAAGAATTTTTTTTTTAAAAAAAAAGAAAGCCCAAGACCTCCATCCTTGCTGAATCACTCAAGACTTAAAATATATACTTACTACTAACTGAAACATTTGCATTTAGCACTAGGCAGTTACAAGTACAACCTGTTCCTTGAGAAACTTTCATTTTCAAGTACCTGAAGTGATTGCACTAGTTACATTAATACATTAACATTTAGCAGAGGAAATCCTCCCACCAAAGATGCTTTCTTGTTACCAAACTCCCCGTCACTGTCAGTTGAGCTACATAATTCTACAAGTTGCCAGCCAGGCTTTCAAGCAGTGAAAATTGACAGAATAAGTATGTCCAAGCAGATCCTGAACAGACTAATTTAGGCACTTGTTTTAACCTGAGCTACAAGGAGCAGGCAGTTTGCTTTCCACCTTTGCCTCTTAAGAAAGTACAGTTAAACTCACACCAAAGCTTGCTGATTTGCAATTGAATAACCTTTTAAATTAGAATTTACACCTTTTGAGAGGTAAGTAACATAAAACTATGGTATACAGTAAAGCAATTTGAGCTTAATTTTATGTATTTGGCTTGGTTTTATTACATGGGCTATCATATCTAGTTTTATAAACTGTATAGCAATTATTATATAGGTTCACCTGGACAGAAAATTATTAATTGAGAGTTTGATGTATCTAAAATGATTACACAAAAGCCATGAGTTCTACTCCCCATATTTTTCAGCACTATGAAGACCAAATGTCTTATTCTACCATATTTGCTATTTAGAAGAAAAAATAATTTCCTGTTTCATTTACACTTCCAGTTACTTTTTTGACTTTGACTAAACCATTTAAACCAAATAGCTAAATTAATTGAAAACTCATCTTTCTCATGTGCATATCTTGCTATCAGATGCTAGCTTAGCATTTCAGAGAGTTGGATCCAGGCATAGAAATATCACAAATTCATCAGTTGAGTTTTTAAATTTCATTAGCAAATATAAATGACTTGATTACAGATTTTACCCAAATAAAGTACTCCCTTCTCCATCACAAAAATCCAGCAACAGCTAACTAGATCAGATATTTTATGGAACTCACTAAATGCAAACATAGGCAAGCTTGGTGTGCAGGCAGAGAGATGACCTTCCAGGAAGAGTTAACCATCTTCTCTCAGATTTCTGTGTTAATGGTAATCTGTTTTCCAACAAAAGCATGCAGTTTCGTATAAACACAGAACAACAATATTCTCCTGAAATGACTAATATGCCTTAAAAATTCAATCCACAGTGCTCTTTTCCAGTTAACGATGGAAAAAAAAAAAATATCTCCTTTGAAGGACTGTAGACATATACGGATGACATACTTCCAACAAGCAGAAATTTAATTTACAGCTACAAGCTTTGGAGCTAAACTAATTACTTAATCATCACCTGATCCAACGGGAAATCTAGTAATGTTTTTCCAGACATTTCTCATTTGTATCAGTAAAGCATTAGTTTCAAAGAGGGCTTGATCTCTTCCAGATCTTTGTTACAAACCAGAAACTTTTAATGTGTGTGGACTACAAATTCCTTTTTACCAGGCAACATGCCTGATGAAAAACAGACTTCAAAATCGAAGACCATCTACATTCAGAAAAGGCATGGATTCTTCTGTGACATATCTTTATGGGCCACAACAACAGTAAACCAAGCAGAACAGTCTAATCATGTTTGAAGGAACCACCACAATTACAAGAAAGCTGTTTGGACTGGTAAAAATTCAGAAAAGTTTTGTCTCTTGCACACACCTCAGCCTTAAGAACATGACTGATTTATGATGAATGGTTCCTATTGTTTTTAAAAATTACATCTGTGGTTTATATCTTGAAGCTCTTTTTCTTAGGAATTATTAATGGAGATAAGAACACTTAAGTCACATCTTTGAGATTCCATCTTTACACCAAAGAGCTCAAAATTCAGAACACAAGGCCTTGATTGGTACTTGACAAAAATGTCTGATCCCAGTTTAAATTTATTGTTGCCTAAATCAATTATGCAAATGAACAGGGGGAGGAAAGTGAAGTGGAAAAATCAGATTTTGACAAAAGCTTCACAGAAAAAGTAACCTCAGTGTTACCTGAGGAGATTCAAGGCATTCTAAGGTGGAATAAATCCACTACAGACTCTAAGTCAGTAAACTACTTGAACAAGTAAGAATACCTGAGAAGTTTTGGGTTTTTTCTTCCGTTTGTTTAAAAGCCAGCTGTAAGATACTAAAAAGATAAGAAGGATTTTAACACACACAGGTCAGGGAAAGGCCAGAATGAAGACTGTACTCCAGTAAGCAAAACTGATGTTTTATAGGACAAGTCATAATATTTAAAAAATGCAAATTTTCCCTCACTGGAAGGATCCCCCAATGACTTTATTTGTAAACTCATCTGAACTTTCAACATCATCAATGTATCAAAGTTTGAAATATATTGACTTCAATTGCTGTTTGCCAAGATCAAAATAATCCTGTTTGAAAGTCAGCTCTGAAGAAGCCTGGCATAAGTTATCTCCTTAGCATTGTGTAAAAACTTTGTGGGACTCCAAAAAGTTCATTCACTCCTTAACACCACAGTTTCACTCATCAGCTTACCCTCAAGAAAACTTCACAACTTTGGGAAAAATGGCTGGAAAAAAGGCCAGAAAAAAGGTTGAGTTCCTGTAAAAGACACTTTCTACACTTTCTCATCACTTTCTTTTCTGCTTTTTGAAAAGGAAACCCAAAAGATGAAATTAAAGCAACTGAAAATTTAAGACCCTTCTGCAAAACTCAAGTGAACCTGAACCTCTCTAAAACGTTTGTATCCTGTTGTGGGAACAACTGTTCAGAGGTTCTAAGCACAGAAATTGTTCAGACCTATACACTGTTGTTCTCTGTGGAGATTTATCTGTAGGTTTCTATCATGGGGGGAAAAATGAACAAAAGGAACATTTCCTAAATGTCTCCCCAGTAATATTCTGTAACAGAGTAATGTTCTTAAAACTTTTCAGAAAAATTCCAAGGAGGGGCAAAGCTGATGTCAACACGTGAAGAAGTTTTTTGGGATAGAAAGCATTAATTAACCTAGAGTACAGCTGGCTGATGAGACAATGTTAAGCATCACTGCCTGAGTTTCCTATAGCAGCAGTGAAACATATAGACACAGCCTTTCCAGTGGGAGAGTCACCATACTAGAAAATTAGACGTTTCACAACTGAACTGGAGGCAGCAGCTGCCTGAACTTCTAAACACCTGTGTTGAGACACTGCAGGGATGAGAATTCTCCCTGCACCAACCCTTCCTTCCATGTGATCAACTATAACGACCTCCCTAAAATAAAGGTCACAACATGAATGGTGGTGGCTCTCAAAAAAACCCCACACTGAGCTCATCTAATTGGTACCCAAAAACTAAGATGGCAGAAACAAAACTGAAAGCTTATCTGAAGACCTTAATATTGAATAATACAGCTTTCACTTCAAGCAGAAAAAGTTACATACATAAGCATACACACACACACATCCCCTCTCATATTTTTCACACTTACATCCAAGTTTATTCTAGATATTTTCATAAATTTATTTACAATACAACATTCACTGTACTTTCTTGCTAGAGTCACTTGCCAAATTTTGGGCTAGGCGGGGTTTGGGGTGAGGACTGATTTGTTTTTTGAGTGTTTTTCTGTGGTTTTACTACTACATCTATTGAAGTTAACAGCGCCTTTGCTTCCTCACTGGTAGAAATTTAGAACATACTTCAGAGTATATTAACATAGCTTACATTCCTGAACTACTTGTTGCATAGTCTTACTATTTTTTCATACACATTAGTGCTTAAAATTCTATATCTTAAACATTTAAATCTGCAACATGCATCTCATGCAACAGGCTTATTCCCTAGCTGTTCAAAGAAACACTGAACATTCTGCAACACTTAAACAATGATGCAAAACTGTACTGCCAGGGCAAACAATGCTTAAAAGGAGTGCAACTTCAAATGAGCATAATTTAAAGATTACTCACTCAGAAAACTTACCATCTCCAGCAGGCAGGCCTCGTTCTTTCTTCTCATCACATTTGTTGCATTCACTGAAGTACAGCAACAGAAACATATCCAGAAGGACCCAAACCAAAGAGGTGGCGAGGACCACCTTGCAATATGCAAATTTTTTCATGGCACTTTAAGTCAAATACAAAAATAAAAAAAAGTATAAATAAAAATATCAACAGGTTGCTTTAGTCCAGTTCGAGATATCACGTTCTATATCTGGAGGGAAAAAAAAGAAAAAAAAAAAAAAGAAAGTCACAAGAAGTTACCTGAGGACAGCAGCTAAAAGTAGAAATTTTAACTACATTTCAAAGGTAGCAATTTAATTAACAAATGCTGTGTGTGTCAAAATGAATGCTCTATACACTCCCCAGAGACTAAAGGGAACAGGGTCAATTAAACCAGCACGACTCAAGTCTTTTACTATGTTAACATTTACCACTTGAAATATGAAATCGAGTGACCCAAACAGGGTGCTCTGCTGAACCACCGGAGAAGAGGGTAGGCACGTCTAATGAAATTCAGAGCAACTCTCTGGATCCTCTGGAAATCAGAACAAGCTAAATGAAAACTAGGAACATTTCAGGAAGCAGGGTATCAGTCTGTGCTCCGTGAAGCCCATGGCTAACACTCCTCACGTTCCATGTAGTACACGCTGAGTTTCTGGGCCCATCACTAGGAATGCTAGCCTAAAAATGGCACATCACACCTCTATCACAAATATAAATACTTTGCTTTCAGAAAATAAAACTGAAAATAAAGATCCCTTTTGGTCAAGTTAAACAGGAGGCAAAAGCAAAAGTATCCACAAGCCACTGTGATCACTTACTAGGCACTCAAAGCTAAAAGTATCAACTAGTAATTTTGATGCTTAAAATGACTTTAATGGTTTAACGCTTCATTATAGAGCAAATTTTATATATTTTTCAACATCTACATGTTAAAATTTTAGAATGGCAACCTCTGAAATTCTCTTTTGTCCTACTCAAATTACAAGCAAATTTTGTTACAAGGGCTGCTACTTCTAGAACTGAAAACTGGGAAAGGCAGAATCAAGAACAGCTTTGAGCTTGTTCACTTAAACTAAAATATGCAGGTTTTGAATTTATTTACTTTTTTTTTAACAACAGGTTCTCCACCAGTGCTGATGTTTCAAAACAAAGTACTCCCCAGGTATTTCCCAGTGGGAACAGCTTACTAAGTTAAAACCAGAAGTACATTGATGTACACACAGCTTGTTTGAACTTCAATTGCAAGCCACAATTATGCAAAAACATTACCAAAAACTATAATTAAGATTACCTTTCCTTTAGTATTTAGCTCTCATCATTTGATTCCTGCCTCCCCTCGACTCCACCTTCTTGGGGGAAAATACTATGACATCCTTCTTCTACATACAGCTTATTTCTTCTTATTGATAGCAGACACGTTCATGTCTCCATGCATCCCTATACACCTAAGTGGCATAGGTTCAGACAGCACATGTCCACTTGTACAAGACTAGAAGGGTGTAGAGCCCTCTGTTTCCTGCATAGGTTAGGTGAGCATCTAGGGCCAGGAAGGAGTTTTGTTTGGGATATCTCACTCTGCATCTATATAGTTTTGATATACAAGGATGACTCTTTATAAAGCTAAGAACTGCAAAAGTATCTGTAATTAACAAATTGATGATAATAGCAGAAGAAACTACCACAATGAAACATTAAGCGAAGAAGGGCAAAAGGGTGAAGACAACAAGAAATAGCTTCATTATAAGATATAAGTGACAAGAGCAGCATTCTTCCTGGCTGGAAAAGATGGAACCTAAATCAAGTGGCAGATCTATAAAATCAAAAGCTGCATGGAGACAGTACACAGAGAACAGCTGCTGCCCGTAAAGCCTACTTTTGGCATTGACAGAATTCAAGTGAATTTAGCAGCAAGGGGTTAAAACACAAAAGGAAAGTGTTCCTCACAATGTGTAGCTGTGCAGGGGAACTGCCTGTCCCAGCACACTGGCAGTGTTGCAGATTTCCTCACAGGTGTTAAATACCAAGTGCTCACCCCTACTTCAGGCAGTCCCCAACTGTGACTCCAGTCACTGCATGCTGGGAGAGTACAGCAAGGAAGTGTCATTGCAATCCCCCCTCTTCTTGTCCCTGGATAGATGCTATCAGCCACTGGCAGAAACAAATACTATTCACAGATGAAGTCTGCCTGACAAGGTACAACTTTCCATACGATAGGTTTCTTCCTTTGCTCTAATTCAGGTCACTACAGAAATAATCTGACACAGAATCAAGTCATACCATCACCCTGCTTAAAGAAAACAAACGCTAGTTAAAAATGACGTGTTTTAAAAGAAAACTGAATAAACTGTTATAATCTCAGACCTCCTCATGGTCAAGCTTGTGAGATACTAGGCTGGAAAGTATAAAACACACAGGAGCACACCACTTATGGGTCCTTAAATGAGCAAGGGAACATCCGAAGTCAAAACTGGAGCTGAGGAGTCACACATGGACTAACCTTAACTAACAGCACGGAATAACCTTATTATCCATATATAGGCTGGATGTCAACAGGATATGAAGTTGCTCTGCAGAAAGAAACTTTTGGAGCACACGCAGCAGTGTGACCTTACAGCAAAGAAAGTCAACTAAATCCATAAATAAGTCCAGTAACCACAGCAAGAATCCCAAAATGCGTAAGGTTAATAATTGTCTTTGCTACTGAGTAATGTAATCAAACTGAAGATTTTTGCAAAACCAGGTAAATTTCCTCCCTTCAAAATCCTAGATAATAGATAACAAAACCTTTACACCATGGAAGTAAAAGGAATATTAAAAAAACCTTGGAAAGAGTAGAAACTGAGCCTATAACTTATCAAAAACAAAGTTACAGGTTTAAAAATAGGTATATTCAAGTCTTATTACTTCTGAAGGTCAACTGACTTTTTTTATCCCCCCCCGAAAAAAAACATGATACGCTTGACACTAGAGAAAAAGGTCATCTTTCAAATTACTGCTCATATAAAGTGCATTGTTTCATTTTACCACCTTTTCTACCAACATAGCTGACACAGGAAAGGATGCTTACTTTTTTTATCTTTGGATCAACTTCACCTTTGTTTAGACTTGACAAAGGACTTCATTGCTGTTATTCAGCTAAATTAGGATTCTACCCCTAAACAGACAAAGCTAATGTAAAGTTTCTTTTCCAGACTTTCAGATGTGAATAAACAGAAACTAGCAAAAAGTAAGGGCTTATTAAAATCCTGACACAACATTAGCTATTTATAAGCTATTAATATAAATTTAAATCCAATGGAAAGTGATTAAATTAACAGCATCCACGGAAAGACTGATGTGACACAAAAATTGAATTTTCAGCTTCTCAGTGTATTTAGTAACGAGGGAGAAAACAGTGGCATACTCTAAGGTAACATATGAGGCATATATATGGATTTTTGAGAAAATTTCTAAAAAATGAAGCAAAAGCAAATTGTTATATAAACATTGTCTAAAACTCCATATATCTGAACTCTTAATGAGGTCTATCTGGTTGAGTACATCTATGAAAACAGAAGTGATGTCAGTGCTAGACGCAGGTTTCAGAACTATTGTTGCTGTGATGATTTATTTTTTCCCCCTTTTACTGGCCTACACTGTTAAACTGTTTTTAGTGCTAGTTTGCAGAGAGCTCATTACCATCAGCTCATCAATGAGTAGGTCCAGTTTGAGGATAAAGACAGCATTACCTAGTTTCAACGTGACAAAAGTGAAAAAAAAAAAACCATTCCAATCAGAGAGTCAACACATGGCCGGTGGAGAACAGGTGTACCATGTCCTCTTCATAGAAACACATCTGGCAATTTTCACCAAGCGAAAAAATATTCATGAGCTGGAGGATGCCAGTACTCCCCTATTCTCAGAAGTTAACACAAGTACTCTTCATTGGGCTACACTCCTTTGACAGATTTTAAAAGGTTTTAGTATGCAACAGTACGTTCTGAAGAAGTGATGAGAAAAAACAGACCAAACTAGTCTGAGCAGTATGAGAACCATTCATAAAAAGCAAATCTACTCTTAAAAAAAAAAAAAATCTGAGAAATATAAGTCACTAAAATCAGTTTCTATTCCTCTTGCTCTGTGTAGGAAGACTACACTTTTAATTCATCAGAAGCGAATTTTCAACTCAAGTACTTTTTTAAATTAGCTATTTGAAAAAACTACCAATTACACTTCTAAAACCAGCAGGTCTTGGAACAAAAGAAGAATAAACCAGAAACACAGGAGTAGTTGACTACACGTGAAAAACAAGGATGACTTCATATGCAAAGGCAGAAGTTATGGGTTCATAAAAGCTTTTCTACAGATAAATCAGCCTGCATAAATACTCTTATAAAAGCAGATGCTTTTGTGAGATTAATAACTGGCTCATCACACAGAAAAACTATGCCAGAAAAGAAACAACAGCTACGAACTCCATCCACAATTTAGCCAAAGTATTGGAAAAAAGTCACTGCACACTTGAACCTCTGATGCGTCTAATTTAGAATCACAGAATCATAGAATAGTTTGGGTTGGAATGGACCTTCTTATCTAAACAGTCTTTACTTAACTCTCAACTTCTATGATTAGTTCTAATTACTTCTGCAGATATATAGTAACATTTCTAAACGGAGTAGAAACATTTTCAGAACAAAGCTTTTCCAGTTACTGCAAGAAAATTAATTTAAAAGACATTGCTATTTTGGTACCTACACTGTTCAGAAACATCTTAACTACGATCATTCAGCTTATCATTTTGCAAATTAGTGCTTAAAGGTTTCTCAAATGAGTTTGTAAGCAGCATGTACTATCTTGATTAATTCCCCTCAAAATTTTCAAAGAAATCAAGGAAGCATTTGGTTAACACTTTCATGCAGTTCCCACTACTACACAGCCCTTCCTGATTCTTTTCCTAATCAACACTACTCAAATAAAAATGATCATTTGCAAATTAGTATCTACCCACTATGGCTTAAGGTGAAGAAGATCAAAATTAGTACAAAAAAATTAATGTGGATAAACAAGATGATTACAAGAAAGACTATAAAGGCTTATAAAATGAAAATTTAGTAGGCTGATAAGCATGCACCTTTGATAATTTGGCTACTATTATCTTTGGTAATCTTGGTGCTAGACCTGTACGTGTAATCTTAACCATAATATCTCTTGCCATCAAAAAAGAACAAG